GGGCCCCGCTCCCACTCCAGTGTCACATCCTGGCAGGCTGCCCCAGCAGGGACACGGCCCTTGCAGCACAGTGCAGCCATTCCCGCTGTGCCACGGCCATTCCAGCTGTGCCCTGCCTGGCCACAGGACGTGCAGCCTCCGCCCCAGCTGCTGACAGAAGGAATCTCTATAGCACAGGGCAGCCGCCTCCCTGTGGTGTTTCCTCACGCAGGGCTCATCCCTGTGACCTTCTGGCTGTTTGTCCCAGCCTTGGACAATGTTTAACAGTGGTGACACTGCTCGGCGCGCCGCTCTGGGACGTTGTGGCCAGTGCTGGTGGCAGGAGCAGGAGCAGGTGGCCTGGGGCACCCAAGGAGGTGGCAGCAGAGCTGTGCAGGTGCAGCCCGTGTCCGCAGGCAGGGCCCGGGGCAGCTCCTCTGCTCCCCACAGCCCCAGCCTGGCCAGAGAGCAGCAGCCCCACAGGCCACGCTGATCCCGCTGCTGGAGCGTGGGAAGCTCCAGGGACAGAGCTTAAGGTGCCCAGGTAGCTTCTCACTGCCCATGGAGCACATGCTACCCCAGCCCAGCCACCAGCGCCCAAGGAGAGCCCCAAGGCCCAGTCTGGCCGGGCCCGGCTGTCCCCATCGCCCTGTCTGGGGCCGGGGTGACGCTGCTGGGGGAGGTAGGTGACGCTGGCTGGGAGCCGAGTGCTGCTGGCCGCGCTGCTGCTCGGGGCGGGGGGATGCTGCTCTGCGGAGGCAGGTGCTGCTGTCCGGAGCCTTCGTGATGCAGGCTGGGGACAGGGAGCTGCGGCTGGGGACGGGGCGGTGCTGCCGGGGAGGGGGGACCAGCCCGGGGCTCTCACCTGGCCCGAAACTCCTGCGTGTAGATGGTGCGCAGCGCGTCGCGCCGGCTCTCCTGCTCCCGGCCCGTGTCCCGCAGGAACTGCACGAAGTGCTCTCCGCAGCGCCTCGCCTCCGCCACGCTGCACCGCGGCATGGCCGGGCCGAGCGGGACCGCGCCGGGACCGCGCGGG